GGGGGGGGTAAGTGTGAGCGCAGCCAAGGGGGCCACCGCGAATTACCGTCCTGAGCTCACCAGGCCGGCTGTCCCGAGAGAGAAAGAAGCTGATTCAGAGAGGAGTGGAAGAGAGAACCGGGTCTGATCCAGTTCCCCCTGGGAGTCAGCTACACCTCTCCGCCATACAAGATGAGGAGGTCTCCCGGAAGCCCCGCTTTTGGCCCAATCCACTTAGCTTCTTTTTATTTTTGTAATATATGTTTAAATATATTTTATAGATTTTTTACAGAGAGGAAGGGGGAGGTACAGAGAGTTAGAAACATGGGTGAGAGAGAAACATCCATCAGCTGCCTCCTGCACACTCCCCACTGGGGATGTGCCCGCAACCAAGGTCCATGCCCTTGGCCAGAATCGAACCTGGGACCTTTCTGTCCGCAGGCTGATGCTCTATCCACTGAGCAAACTGGTTAGGACTTGTAATATATTTTTATTGATTTCAGAGAGGAAAGGAGAGGGAGAGAGAGAGAGAAACATCAATGATGAGAGAGAATCACTGACCAGCTGCCTCCTCCTGCACCATCATCCATCGAGCCTGCAATCCGGGTATGTGCCCTTGACCGGAATCGAACCCGGGACCTCTATCCACTGAGCCAAACCGGCTAGGGCACATTACGGTCTTTAACCTGAAACAGTCGATATGGGGGTGGCTGTTCTAACCTCCTTCCATCATAAACCCATTCACAAGTGCAAGCACCAGGTTCTGCAGGGTGGTGCCCCCTCTGGAGGTTTCATTTCAGCCTGACCAAGTGTTCGTTCTCAACTATCTGTACTTTTTTTTTTTTTTTTACGATGTTTTAGAGCAGTGGTTCTCCACCTTCCTCACGCCGCGACCCTTTCATACAGTTCCTCATGTGGTGACCCCCAATTTCATTGTTACAAATGGAACATCATTAAAGCATCGTGATTAATCACAAAACAATATGTAATTATAGATGTGTTTTCCGATGGTCTTAGGCGACCCCTGTGAAAGGGTCGTTCGACCCCCAAAGGGATCGCGACCCACAGGTTGAGAACCGCTGTTTTAGCGAGAGAGGGAGGGACAAGAAGAGCGAGAAACATCTATGGGAGAGCTGCCTCCAGCATGCCCCCTACCGGGGAATCGAGCCTGCCACCTGCAACCCGGCACTGACCCGACCGGGAGGAATCCAACCATGACCCCTTGGTTCACGGCCGCGGATGCTCACCTGACCCGCGGCCAGCGCGGCCAGGGGTGACCCTGAGGAGGCGGTGAAGGATTAAAGCAGACAGACAAGAGAACACAGCGGGGGCCAGGTGGATCACTGCCTGGATGAGGAAACAGAGACCCAGCCCGAAAGCGAAGCTTTGTTTTAGAGTCAGAGCACACAAAGCAAAGCCAGGGGAGGGTCCCCATGCTTAGCCTTGTTCTGGCAGCGCTTGCTGCACCTCCCACAGCCCCTCCGCTCCCTAGGAACACGGAGGACATAAGGTCAGGCTTCCTTGTCCTGGCAGGGCGCTGCCCTCCAAGCTGGGACCTGCATGTGGCTCTGCCACAGGTCAGTCCGAGGCTTGGCTCCAGAGCCGCTCCCTACACTCGGGTACCCACCTGGCCCCGGCGGCCGGGCTGTACGCTGTTTTGCACAGGACACGTCAAAAGCACCGCGCTCACACAGAGGCCCTGGCGAACAATAACCATTAAGCCAGATAATCCTCCTCGGGGATGCCTGCCTCCTGGCAGGCCCCGGGCAGGCCCCTGGCTCAGCATTTTCTTCGCCCTCCCTTTGCCCTCAGAGCAGGCACTGCCAGGACCCGTGTGCCCAGGCTGCTGGGGTGGCTGA